TTAATGGCTGGAAACCGTGCACGCTGGCTAGAGAGACAGGCGTGTGCAGCAGAATCATACTTGTTTGAGTTAAGTTTTTTTCTGCACAGGGTATTCAAATGGCGATAATTATTGTCTCTACTTTGCAGAGTTTTATGGGGATTTAACTCCCACATTTGTAGATATCAAAGCCTCTGTGGTACTCAGGACGCATTCGGTAAATGTTTTATATTATTCGTATAATTACTGTATGTAAAAATTGACCTTTTTTTGCATAGAATATCGTAAGTATTGACATTTTTGCAAATAATATGTCTGGGTCCCTAAAGCACCAGCAGGAGCCTGTGCTCTTTCAAAAGTGGATTACTCACAAATGTTGCCTTGCGGGAGCACTTCCCTGCCGTAATTAGAGGATCAGGCTTGGGGCATACAGGAGATTTTGATAGGGCCCCTAAAGTCGTCCAGATTTAAAGTCTCAGGGTCCCAACGAGTGAACGGTAAGGAAGTTAATGTCAAAAGGGGACCAGAAGACTTGAGGGAAGGCTCTTTGAAGGAGGTGGGGGGTTGAGCCCTGTTTGCTTGTAGGCTGAGGGAGAAGAAGTTAGCCATGGAGAGGAGATGGACACCTGGTAACTGAGGCGTGAGACTGCAGAGCAGGGAGGAGCAGACGGAACCAGGGCAGGAGAGTGGAGGAGAGAGGTGAGAAACGGTGAGAGGAATGGCCCTCGGGTTCCAGGAGAGCAGACTTGGGAAACCAGATCGTTGTGTTTAAGTGTTTGAAAGCCCATCACATGGGGGAAGGACTAAATTAGTTCTCTAGGATAAAACTGGCCCCGCTGGGTCTGAGCTGTGGGGAGACCGGACCTTGGGCCCACGTGGAGGAGGAGGTCTGAGCACAGACAGGGTGAGGAGGACAGGAACTCAGTGGGAAGAAATGAGCCCGTGCAGACGACCCCGTGATGCTCTCCCCAGCCAGTGACTCTGGATGAGCCGCGCACATCCTAGACCAGGTCTCCCCGCTTCCCTCCACCGCCCCAGGCCTGCAGCCTTCCCTGTCTGGCTGTTGCCTCCCGTCTGATACGATTCTTCTTGAAGGACTGAAGCTAATTTCCCCAAAGACACAGAACGAACTGCGTTACCTGCCTCTGAAGAGGTTTGTAGAACGTCTCTTAAAAGGCGGTTCCTTCTTGCCGCCTCTCTTCACTCATTCCTGCCCCTCCGCTCATCGTGTTCGTCTGCGTTGCCAGTGACCCCCCCGCCCACCCCCCCCCGAGTGTTGACCGAAACAGAAATTTGTTTTGAGGGGACTAATCACCATCATTTTAAGTTAAATTCCTTCAGAACTATAGAGATTTCTGGTGTTTTATAACCCTCCCTTTAAAATGCACACTGTGTGGCGCACCTGTAACCTCTCCCCTGCCTCTTGGAGCAGTTCGGGTGTGGCTGGTCCTGTAGTAACTGCAGACAGGTGACCATGCGAACGCTGCCTGGAGTTAGTTCAGTGACGCCGACAACAGATGCTGCAAAGTGAAAATGACTCTTCAGACCTTTAACATTCACGCTAAACCATACATTTGGGAGGCTGGAATTGTGACAAGAGTTTTATTAACCTGACAATGGTTTTCTCTGTCAAGTGTTTCGTTTAACGTAGCAAGGAACAAACTTGGTTGCAATTAGCACAAACTCTTGTTTCTGGACTTGTGCTTGCACACACAACGGTATTCTCCGGCGTATAATTAGGAAGAGTAAATAAATCTGTGTGTGGCATCTTACATCGCAGGACAGGGATCCATGGCCTGACAATAAATACTAAATGACAGATTGTGTAAAAGGATGATATAATGCCCACAAGGAGAGGAAATACCATGCGAAGTTCAAATTTTGTATGTAAACTGTGGCAAAGTGCTGCAATAAATTGCCATTTTCTTCACATTAGTCACGGTGCAAAGGAAGACTTTTTTAAGCAAAGAGTAATCTCTGGAATTTAGCATAAAGACGGTTGTTAATTTCAGGCTTTTCGCATGATGTTGCTCCTTTGTGGGGATCCAGCAAGCTGCATCCACTTTTTACTTCCTTAACATCAAAGGAAGATTGATTATTTCAGAGATTCCTTGTGCAAAAAACAAGAGGAAGAAATTTAGAAGCTAATCACCATTTCTACTCACTGTATTTGTTCTAAGTCATACTGTTTCCAATTTTGGAATACATCTGTTACTTCTTTTTGTTTCGTGTTACTTCTTAGTATCATACTAATATGTTTTCTTCATTAGGGTGGCAGCTTAACTGTGTGCTTAATTTTATTTGGTACCTGAGAATGTTATTCTATTTACATTTTATTATTTGGATAAGAATTAAATCTTACAGTTTTGAAATTTATAAATATGTATATTTATAAATATTTCTTGATAGAGTGTGGAAAAGCAATTTGTATTTATGCAGAGACAGAAAATATAGTATTAAATTGACTTTCGAAGTAACGCTGCAAGGAAACTTTTATGTTAAAATTCCAGGAATGGGAACATCTGAATTTTTAACTGAGTTCACAATTACATGATACTTATAGATGTAATTCTAGTGTTAGAACAGTGACAGTTAATAAAATGCTTATTATCTTTTGAACAATTAATAGGAAAACTGGAATATTTCCAAGTGTAATCAAATTACCGTACCTTGTAATCACGGTGCACGTTCTGAAGCTTTTGTGACTTCTAATTCTAAAAGTAATAAATATATTCATGTCATACGCATGCTTAAACATGTTGATTTGGTGCCAGGATAAACCTTTTGTAATATCTCCCTTTTGTCATTTACACTTGGCATTTCCATGTCTCCTTATTCTTTATTTCTTTAGGATGCATATGCCTTTTAGACAGCGGAGACAAAGGAGTTTAGGGAGGGAGAATCCTCAGAAGAATGATATGCCAGAGGCTCTATCTAATCAGGTGGTCGAAGCCCAGTCTTACAGGCAGAGTATATGAAGACAGGGCCACTTGCCCTGGTGTGGGGATTTTTGATATATAGTATCTAATTCCTTTGTCAAGAGAAACCTCAATTTTCCTGGGCAGTTTTTATGATGTAAGATGGAATTTGAGCACGGTCCTAAGAGCATGATTTTTCTGGACTCAGATTAGGTTCAAATTGACTCCAGGTTTGCAAAGTGAATGTGGCAAGTTGCCAGATTCGGGGGCGTTGCTGAAGATGTCAGATTGATTTCACTCCTCCAATGCATATTGAAGCCTTCCACCCATTAGGCATTATACTGTTTGGTTCTCATTGAAACTTCATGATCTCCCCCCTCCCTACCTTAAAAAAAATAGATTAGAAAGCAGGGGCTTTTAAGTTTCATAACCTGTCGTAGGTTGTACAGCAAGTAAGTGGCAGAAAGGATTTGAATCCAGGTCCCTTTGATTCCAAGTTTCAAGTTCTTAACTTCTGAGCCAAATTCTCCAGAATTACCTGGAGAGTTTGACCAGAGGCCCAAGAATTTGTTGTTTCTAACCAGTTGCTAGATGTGGACGCTGCTGGTCGTGAGAAACACTGTTTGTACTGTGCTGCATGGCTCGGCCCCCCTGGACAGTAAGAGAGAGAATTCACGTGTCGTGCTTGGATTAATAATCACTAATATTTATTGACTGCTTGACCATGTCCTAGACACTTTTCTAAATTAATCCCTTTTTATATCTTAGGAGGTAGTTAAATTGCAGGGAGAGGATAAGGGATGTGAGCACCACTTAAAATTAAGAGAAGGACTCAGGTGTAGAGAGGTGCCCAGTAAGGAGGAATGGCAGTGAGTCGGCGGCCGAGCTGGTTTTCATTTTCACTTCTGTCGGCTGGACTGCTTTCGCAAGCCAGTGCCCCTGGAGCCATCTGCAGGGGCAGACTTCATGCTTTGGGAAGGTTGAGAGACAAGAGACCTTCCCTCCTTTCACCCCTTGGTGTTTCACATCCTTGGAGGAGGGCTGTTGCAGGCCACACCTGGGAAGAAAGGGTCTCGTTCCTTCTCATGTGTCTCTCCCCAGCTTTCTGAAGGGTAGATGACGCAGGTGGTTATTCTGATGAATGATGTGACTCTGAAAATGACCTGTAATTCAGTTGAGCTATGAGATTATTGATATTCATTAGCAAGGATCAAAGGGATTCCAGTGATTTCGTACGTAGGAGCTGTGCTGGTGGTGCCAGCGCAGTAAATTAGCAGAGATGTCACTGAGGTTGGCCACCTGCAGCAGGGGGTTGACTGCTCTGCAGTGCTGGCCTGCCCGTGGCTGCTCCGACAGCCAGGGAACATCTCAGAAGCAAAAGTGAAGGAGGTGAGAGAGAAAGCCAACCCAGAATTAAGTCTGAAACCTGTACTCTGCTTAGATAACTAATTTCCCCATTAGTTTTAAAGCTTGAAGACAAAGTATAAAATGGTTTCAAAAAGCGAGATCACACTGACGTATAAATACTTTGTGTATTTGGTTCCATTAAACGTTTTGTTGAGGGACTGTTATGTACAAGGTCCTTATAAAAATAAGGTCTATTGTCCTCCCTCTCAAGGAGAGCTCTTAGGGAACTCACAGTCGAGTTCATTTATAGAAGAGCGTCCGAATCTGAAGTTAGTGTAGCCTGGTGTATGTCTTGCCTTAGAGGTACTGCTGTGATAATTTCCGCGCTCAACTCCTGGGGCAAATTTTCCTTTTTAGTGGGATTAGCTATTTAGCTGTAGAGCTGGACCCCAGTGCTCCTGACTCAGCTTGGAGTCCTCTCTGATTTGAGTTTGGCCTTGTTTATTCATTATATAGCTTTATCTCCCAGTCGTAAGCTGTGAATTTTTGAAAGGTTATTATGACTTATTGCTACTTACTCAGATATTCATCCCTGCATTTTAGCCTTGTTTTTCTTTTTCTCTCTAAGTTTTCGAATATAGCAGTGGAAATTCTAGAAACAGGAACAACATCAGCAAAAATGCAACCTGGACGCTTCACCTGTGGTTAGGGTGCTGACTTTTGGCAGGTGTGCTTGGGTGGAAGGAATCACCTGTGCTTTGACTCTGCTTTGTTGCAGGTTAACGAAGCCCTTGTCGTTTGCCGACTGTGTTGGGGATGAGCTGCCCTGGGGCTGGGAAGCCGGCTTCGACCCTCAGATTGGTGTCTACTACATCGATCACATAAATAGTAAGTTTTTTCTTTTTGGTGAAAGCAAACATATCAGAAAAGTAATTCCCTACAAATATAGAGTCATGCAAAAGAGTGAACATTTTACAGTTTAAAACCCTACTTTCTCAGTGACTGATGTTTAACTGAAATGCTCACTTTGGAATTTGAGGCCTGTGTATGGAGCTGGGCTTATGGGTACAGAGAGGGAGAAAGGAGTCCGTCTGTTTGTCTGTCTGCTCGCCTTTGTAGGACACGAGTTCCCTCCAGCGCAGGCCTGGGGCCTGTGGAGACCACGAGCCATCTGGCTCCTCCTCCCTCGGCTGCTGTGCCTTGGGGTCGGGGTCCGCCTCTCTTGTCCTGGCGGAGGGAGGCGGGCATGGGGCATCCCGCAGATCTCTTTGAGTGATGACTTCAGTTTCTTCCCTGAGGCTGATGGCTGCCAAACTTGTCTAAGTCTCTTCCAGGGTTCCAGACGCATGTATTTGATTCCTTACTCGAAGGCTCTTTCCAGTCTGCCCCACTGCCTCCGTGTTCATCCCTCGCCCTGCCCTGGCACTGGTGACACCCCAGCTGTGCCCCAGGCTTCCCGGGCTTCCTGCCTTTCTTTGCATTTGTTGGTCCAGCCCTGATCGCTCTGCTCCACCTCTAGATCCTCCCTTCCCGCCACCTGCCCCTTCCTTCCAGGGTCCGTCTGCCCAGGCCCCACTGCTTCCCGAGGGCCTCCTCGGGCCCCTGACCCTCCACCTCAAGTCCCGCCCCCATGCTGGAGTCGGTGCCTGTGCTGGGATTTCTAAAGTATCAGGTCCTTAGGGATTTTTAAAAAGCATTTGTCATATTGTACTTAAATTATTTATTTGTGTATTTTTCCTCACTAATAACGAGCTTCTTGTGGGCATCTTTATTTCTCTATCTTTGGATGCCTGGTATGATGATAAACTCTTACCTGTGAGAAGAAAGGAAGAGCTTTACTGTTCAGCTCACAGATGGAAAGCTTTCTGTTTGTTTTTAAAGAAATTAAACTGTATTGCAAGTATAAATTTGTTTCAGAAAGCACCATTCTGAATATTAAAAAACTTGGTTATCAAGATATAAATTTTTAAGTCTGCCATTTTGCTTTGGTGCAGTAATGGTATCCCAGTGGCCTGATGGATTTACTATGCTCTAAAGTGCCCCTGTTACCCACAATAAGCAGTTTTCCCACTGAAAAGGATCTGGTCCATTATCTCATTAATCTTAAAGACATTCCTGAGAAGTAGTTTAGGGAGCAAATGGTATCACCTTCTCTTAACAGCTGGTCCACACATATGTTGTGTCTTGACATTGTATAGTTTCAGCATTATTTTCTCTTTATTTCAATAAAAAATGAAATAACGAATGTTTGGCTGTTTAGTACTACTTCTGTGTAACACTATTAAATACTAGAAGTGAAAGTTTTGACCTTGAAATGAAAGTTTAGGCCTTACGTGTTTTATGATACAATTCCCCTTGTCGTGGCTGTGTATGTGGAGTGGGGGTGCACCTGTCGAGGCGGGATGCGTATAACTAACTAGAAGGTAATTATGAAGTACTGTTTATAAGGTTTTGATGTTATCATTACAGCCATAAGTAAATCACTTTTTGGTAGGGTCAGAGTTGCACCTTAATTTTTTTTTCTGTCTTTTAGTAATTAAGGTCTGATTTACATATAAGAAAATGCAGATTTTTAAGTGTGTATTCAGTGAATTTTGACAGTTGTATACTCCTTTGTAGCAGCCACTTCAATCAAGATACAGAATATTCTCACCCCGCCTGCCATGAGCTCTTCCCTGCCCCTTGCCGGCCACCCCTCCCCCACTGCTGCAGACCGTTCCAATTTTCTGTCATCACAGCCTAGCTTTGCCTGTTCTAGAGCTTGAGACAAATGGAGTGTGTGTTCAGTGCTGTGGATGGAATCTCTCACTCACTGTATTTTTAAGGAATGTACTACTGATACACACAATATCACAGGTGAATACTCGTACTCGTCTGACAGAGCCCATAGCCAGGGCATACATATAAAGAACTCCTGATAATCAACACTAAAAAAGGCAAACATCCCAATTTAAAAACAGGCAGCCAGCTTAAACAGACCTTCCCGGGCTGGGCTCTGCTCTCGTCCCTCCCCGTGTTCTCCCTCCCGCCCCCTGGACCCCCTTTTTCTGGTGTTCAGGCCGGTGAGCTGGGGCTTCAGGCTCGCCGCACAGTTGGGTGCTTCCCAGGCTGCGTGTGTCTTAGGACAAGTCAGGGAGGAAACCAGCCTGGGATGGGCTGCAGGTTCCATTCCTGGGGCTCGTCTGGCGTGACCGTGGGAGACTCCAGAAAGCTTTGTCCTGCAACACCCACCTTCCTTCCAGTCCTCTGGCAAGAAAGAGTCGGTCTTGTGTTGGAGTCTTTGTTCATCTGTACCTGTGTGTGCAGCTCCAGAGGATCTGGGAAGCACAACGCCAACAACAGAGGTGGGCGCTCACTGCCGTTCTGGGAGTTCTCATTTCCTTCCACGGTCCTTCTTGCTCTAATTTATTTTTTAGAGTCTTCCCTTATTGTATTATGTATGCCGTCCTTGGTGTTCTGCTGTGATCAGTGGGAGAGGTGGGATGGTGTGCCCTTCGTGTTACCCTGAACCAAGCTCCTCCGTGTTAGCTCTGAAGCAATGCGTGTGCTCAGGACTGATGAGGACTCCTCAGGTGTATGTGATATTTTATGTGGAGCTGTTTCCTTTAGAAGAAAGGAAATAAACCTTCGGCCCTTCTATTTCATCTCTGTCTTATTTTATCCTTTATGTTTTCCTAAGACGATAAACTGTTAGGATAGTTTATAAAGAAAAAATTTAAATACTTAAAATATCTAAGTAAAACGCATTCTGCTAGTAAGTGAGGCTAACACTCACTAGTTAGCATCACTCATGTGTGGTGCTCTGCATGTTTCACAGAGCGGTCAAGTTCAGGGACCTCTCCTCAGTCACGGCCATCCTTTTCTCTCACCTGGACGTGGAGCTGACACAGATGGCTATGCCTTTCTCCTTCAGCCTGGTATTTTCCTTCCTCCAGACTGCTCCTTCTTTCTCTGCTCATTTGCCTCGTATTCCTTTTGAGAGTCCCTTTCTCTTCTCGGTCCCCTCCTCCCCGGCCGGCTGGCCTTCATCTACAGCAGTGCTGTCCTCAGCCTTTACTGTGCAGATGTCTCTTCTGTCTGTATTTCTGGCTCTGATTGTCCTAATAGTTGTCAGACCTTTCCAGTTACAGGGCACTGCTACCTGCTTTGCCATCAAAGCTGCAAAACAAACAAGTACAAAATGGGATTCTTCAGTTTTCCCTTTGACGTTATTATTTTTAGAAACACTATAGTCTTCACGATTACTGAATTGAAAAATGTAGAATCATCTTGCCAATTCTTGTTGGGTTTTCCCCCTATAATATAATTTCAGATTGCTCCTTCAGCCTCATTTTTGCTGCCATTTGCCTAATTCAGACCTCGTTACCTTGTACCTTTTTTTCTTTTCCCTATTTTAAAAAATATCTTATAGAAGTAATAGATGTGCATAGGAGAAAGTAGACAATATAGGTAAATAAAAAGAAGAAATTATATTCACACCACTCGAGATAGCTAAGTATTCTAAACCTTTTAGTGTGTATCCTTCCAGACTTTTTCATGTTGATTCACACACACAGTTTTCAATATATTTTCAATTCACTTCAACCAGGATTATATTACACAAGGAGACTCTCATATTCATTTCATTCATTCTTCCCGAGCATAGCAGAAAGAGTAGAAATATGCATGATAGACAGAAATAACATTCCTTTGAAGAGTCTCATGTTGTCTCCGCTGATAAGCTCTTGTACCTCACAGTGTGTTCTCTGTCTGTAAACTTCCACATCTACAGAACTGATGGGATGTGAATTCCCTTGAGGTCCAGGACATTTTAACAGTAGGTGACATACTACTTCTTTCCTATAGTAGACAACATGCAAAGTATATTGCATTATAATACAGTGATCTCCCAAGACCACCGGGTCTTAATAAAAAAAATACCACGTTTGTATAATGAGTATTTTTGAGTATTTACATTTAATAAATATTCTTCACCAATCCATTCGGCAAATATAACTGTTGGAGATGAGGCACAGTCCTGCTTTGTGAAGCCTTCTTCTAAGGCGCCTCTGGGAACCTCTTTTGTAGTTCATGTCTGAGTGGTGCAGTATTTCAGAAATGTTGCTGCTTCCTGCTGAGTCTCATGTAACGTACAATATTTAAGGGTTTCTCTGATCTGTCCAAAACAAATGCGACAGTTCATTATTATCATTATTATTATCATTGTACTTTATTCATTTAAGTGTCAATCAGTGTTACTTTCACTGTTCTGTGGCAGTTTAGCCGTTGACAAGTATTTTATTGAAAGAACGCCAGTTCACCAGTATGTGGGGAAATACGATTAGGTGAAACCTATAAAGGTATTGAGAGAGCTGGGAGCACATGTTACTATGACTATTATAACATAAACATTTCAAGTTTATTTCGTATACATTTTCAATTTGCATCATCTCTTTATTTGATTAGTTTACTAGTTCTACATCTCACTGTGACAAATTACCCCAGAATTAAGGGGCTTAAAATACATTTGTTATCTCATCGTTTCTGTGGGCCATGAATCCCAGCGAAGCTGAGCTGGACCCTCTGTCTCCAGGTCTCTCCCAAGCTGTCCTCAAGGTATTGGCCAGGCTGCCTCACCTCCAGGAGTGACTGGAGAAGGGTCTGCTTCCAGGCTCACGCACGTGGTTGTTGGCAGGATTCAATTCCTTGTCAGCTGCTGGCCGGTCTCCCCCTCCTTCCTTGCTTTGTCCACAGGATGGCGTATAGCATGGCAGTTTGCTTCATCAGAGCAAAAATGCCAAGAAGATCCAGGCAGAGAGAGCAAGACAGTGGTCACAGCCTCTTATAACCTAGTCTCAAGTGACATCCCGCCTCCTGGTCTGGGTGGCGTTCACTGGAAGCGAGTCGCTAGGTTCAGCCCATGTTCTGGGGGCAGGAATAGGAGGAGCTGAGGAGGGTTGTGGGTCATCCACAGTGATGAACGCTCTTTTAAGACCATAAATTTCTGTTTGTTGGAAGATGAATTCCATACTTGGAGTCAGGTTGCATTCATATATATATATATATATATTGGAAATGAATGTGCATATTACGTTTGGATAGCCAACCCATCTGTCTTGATTGTACCTGGGATTTAACTTCTCCAAGTGACTGAGTGACAACACAGGTCAGTACCATCGAAAGAAGCTGTCCTCCTTACAGTTCCCAAGAGAAGGGGCCACATCAAGCAGGCAGGACCACGTGGGGAAGCACCGGGTTGGTCATGAGGCAGAAGGAGGGAAGGAGAACCTAATGGGCGAGAGCCTTTCCTGTGGTTTCCTCGGGGAGGAGTGGGTGAGGCCGAGGAGGCAGGTTTGAGCAAGTTTAGGATGAGATTATTTGAACAGTTTCATAATTTCCTGGAGGAGGCAGTATATGAGCTGTTGCACAGTACAGGCTCTCAGCCACAGCCGCTCTTGGGAATCACTGGAGGAGCTGGTAAACCTACCATTGCCTGGGTTCCACCCACAGAAACTCTGATTGACCCGGGGCTCACTTTAGAGCTCTCTGCGTGATGCTCGTGTGCGGAAGCTGTGCATGGTGGTGTTCTCCTCAACCCAGAACCAGGGTTTGTTCTTTTTGTTTGTTTTAAAATTTTTGATCCACAATGGACTGACTGATATTTTTATAAAATACAATCAGAATGAATTAGGAAAGATGAAAAAAAAGGGAAATACCAAATGCATGCCCTAGTGTTATTATTAGAGTCACCAGATATATAATAACTGTATGAAATTACTGTAAACATTTCAAAATGTTTACCCTTGATTTCTGCACTTGCTGTCTGGGACTTGACTTCTATCCTTATTGTCACGGACATGAGGCAGAGTTCACGGCTGGTGCTGGTCTGCAGACCAGACTGAGTAGCGCTGATGTCGAGGCTAGCATGGCAGGAGTCCTGCTGTAAGTGAACGGAAGCACTTGCCACGGGAAGTAGATTGAGTTTGGATCCTACCAGCCTTGAATGCCGGCATAAATAGCTTGGCTTTTATTCTGAACGTACTGGGGAGCCAGAGAGTTCTTGAAAGGAATGGCCTGATCGCAGCTATGGAATCTCACTCCGGCAACATTGTGTAGGATGGATTCCCAGAGAGAGTACATTGTTGACAAGGACCTGAAAGGGGTGGGCATGGGGCGGGACTGGGTGAAATAAAACCAATACTGTATCAAGTTTCTGGAGAAGTCACTTGGTAATACTAATAAACTAGTAAACTACTTAGAGGACATAAGAATTAAAGATGGCTACTTTTTCTAAAGCTTAAATCCAATTCCAAAAAGCCATAATTAAAATCTGAAAGACAACCCACTCTGATGTATTTTCAGAAACCACACAGATTGAAGACCCCAGAAAACAATGGCGGGGGGAACAGGAGAAGATGCTCAAGGACTATCTCTCGGTGGCTCAGGACGCCCTTCGGACACAGAAGGAGCTGTACCACGTGAAGGAGCAGAGACTGGCTCTGGCGCTGGATGAATACGTCCGGTTAAACGATGCCTACAAGGAAAAGTCGAGCTCTCGCACCAGCTGTAAGTACAGCGTGGCTGTTCAGACGTTAGAAATGGGCACCAAATCGTAGGTAATAGAAGGCCACTTGGGTTTCTGTGGGATTCCAGTTTGAGTCCTGTTTCTTCCTCGGCAGGAGTCCCTGAAGGCCACGCGAGGGTGAGGGCACAGGTCAGGTTTCTCAGTAAAACCCCTCGACCCCATTCCAGGTAGAAGTCTCCTCATTTGGAGAGTAATTTTTACTTTTTCAGATCAGGGCGAATAATTTGGCCCTTTTGGCTACTCTTGTACGATATTTTTAGTGAGACAAAACTAAAACTGGAGCTGTTAGCTAGAATGAAGTTTCTTTGCCCACCTGAGTTCATCCACCTCCCTCTCATTGCAAAAACGGATAATCTGGAGCTGGCCTTGTTTAAAGAAGCAGCTATGATGGCCTCAGAAGTTCTACTGAAATGACAAGCTTCTGGGTAATGCAAAGCTCTGATAAATGGTGTCTGCAATGAGCTCCCCTAAGATTGTATCCATAGATATAAAATCCAGAAAACAATGTGGCACTGGGGTCTTTATAACATTCCTTTTTCTTGAGTTTAAAAAAAAAGATTATAAAGGTTTGAAGATGACTTTTTATATTTAGGTGTCTGATGAATGACAATAAAGGAGTAATAAAAATAAGTAAGTATCCACAGAAGCATGTAAATCTTGTTGTTTTTAGAGTTTGTACATTCCAAGTTGACAACTAGTTGTGCAGCTTGTACAAGTTACCATTTTTTTTTTTCTTTTCTCCCTTTGGAAGTATTCTCAGGATCTTCGTCCAGTACTAAATATGACCCTGATATTTTAAAAGCTGAGATCTCCACTACACGATTAAGGGTAAGTTTTTTTGTTTGTTTGTTTTTTTATACTGTGGTTCTACATTGCATGTGTGCACAGAATCCAGGAGGGACCTTTGTGGTCATCCACCATCCCCATTCCGTGTGGGGCCCCCTCCGTCCTTAAAGCTCTAAATTACTTTCTGCCCATGGCTTTTGCCTACATCCCACAGACTTTGAATTTTGTGTCTGTCATCAGTCAGTTCAAAATATTTTCTAATTTCTTTATGACCTCTCATATGAATGTATTGCTTAATTTTTAAACAGTTTGGGATTTTCTTGTCCTCGATGGGTGGTCTTCCTGCTTCTGCTAGAACGTGTGAGTGACTGAGACTGTCCTTGTTATGAGACAAGAGTGTGTTCCGTCACTGGGAAGTCTTACTATTTGCAGTTAGTATATTGCATCAGAATTTGAGTCTCGGAAACTTACTTTTCTTTATTGTACTGAAGTATGTCCCCAGAGTTGAGCCGAGTTGCTGGTTCATCAGACAACCCGATATTCAGGACGCCCCCAGTTCACGTCACCAAGTCACTCCCTTTTCTAGGTGACTGTCCTAGTGCCTCACACTTCCCCCTGGGCTGTTTGCTGAGCTTTACCGTAATTCTTTTTGACCACACTGCTGTTAAGGTCAGAGCGTGTTTATCCTTGATTTTTGGAGGCTTAAAGACTGTTCACCAAGGAAATAAACTCATGCAGCCAATACACAGGGCATGAAAGAGATTACTACCGTGACTCCAGAAGCCCCCATGGTGTCCCTCATCAGCAGTGTTATCCTTCCCCCTAAAGGTGACACTAGGTCACCTTTATCAGCCGTGCTGAAAGTTAATTTTCTGCCTGCTTTGAACTTTGTGAAACTGGAATGTGACCACATAGATTATCGATGGCTTCTTTTGTCAGCATTTCGAGATTCATTCACTTTTATTGCTGTAAAGCATTCCACTTTTGTGTACATACCATGAATTCTTTATTTCTTCTACTGTTGATGTATGTTAGAGTTTATTCCTATTTCTGGTAACTAAAAATTAAGCCTTAACGTACGTGCCTATGACGTATTTTGGGTGCACATATGTACACTTTTTTGTTGGTTATGCAACTAGGAACAGCTGATCGAAAATATACACAGCTTCAGTCTAGCAGATACTGACAGATACGTGGTTTTTGGCTTTCTTAGTCTCGAATATCTGCCCTTAAAACCCTAAATTACCTTCTGCCCATGGCTTTTGCCAACATCCCACCGATTTTGAATTTTGTATCTGTCATCAGTCAATTCAAAGTATTCTCCAGTTTCTTTATGATCTCTCATATCAATGTATTGCTTAATTTTTAAACAGTTCGGGATTTTCTTATCTTTTATTATTGATTTCAGCTTAATTCCATTTGTATTTTTTCAATTCTAAAATCTCTTTATTTTTTGTTTCTAGTTACTTGACCAAATTCCGCACATCGATACAATAATTTTTTGAACAGAAGCAAAATTTTAGAATTCCACATCTTGATTAATCTGATATTTAGGTTTCCTAGATGTTGGATTCTTCAATCTGGTCTGAGTTTTTTCTCTTGATTTTTGGTCAATATTTGACCTCTTATAGGTGCTTGCTTTTAATTAAGAGCCATATACTACGTATGGAAAAGTATGAAGATAATCGGAGGTTTGGGATGATCTCATCATCCTTCAGACAGGATTTAGTTCTGCTTCTAGAGGCAGTGAGTCTCGGGGCAGATCACTGTCATGCAGTCAGGGTTTGAGCCGTCTGAGATCTGGGCTTCCTTCGTTCCGTCAGGCTGGGTCTGTTTCCGGTCCGCCCTGCTCTCGGGGAAGGCGCTTCAGAATCCTGGCTGAACCCCGGGGATGCTTCCTGGGGCCCCTCCCGCCTGACTGGGCTGCACCTGAGGTCTTCCCCTAGGCCTCTCGGCACCGTGGCACAGCCAGCGGCTCTCTGCGCACCAGGCCCTCGGTCACTGCCTCCTCCCGGCTTTTCAGCCTCACTGTTGCACACGCAGATGCCTCAAAGGGGAGAGCGTTGCCAAGTGTGGGTCTTGACCGTAGGCCCCCCTTGTCCTCTGGATGTTCAGCACCAGTTCCTGCTGCCTTGCTAGTTCACCAGTGGCATCCAATGGATTTTTCTTTTCCTCAAACTTTTCTATTTGTTCTCAGAAACAAGTGTGACAAAAGTTCGTCTGTACTTTCTGGAAGCAAACGTCTCTTCAGTCTGGACTTCTGGGCTTACTGTGTGAAGTCGTTGACACAAGAGTCATTTTCTGCCATAAACACTCCTCCAGGGTATCAGGAGCCCTTAACTCTGTCGGTCCACCTTTATTTCTCTGTACGTTTCTCAAGAATCTCATGGGCTGGTTTATACATTTCTGGGATCTGCCAGGCAGATACTGTGTCTTTAAAAGAAAAAAACAGAAAATGAAGATATTTTGTCAAAAGTTACTCTCGTTAAGCTTCAGTGCTCCCTTGAGCTGTGTACTTCTTAGGACGTTATTACTTATTATTGCCCTTTGAAATTTTAACCATTTTTCACAATTCTTTTCTTGTAAGACGCATTATAAATGAAATACCTCAACAAGCTGTCATAATCTGGCCATTAAAACCCCCTTTTAGAAAAGATGCAAACTAAGGGAGGAATTTAAAAACAAAAGCAGATAGGATATCTCATACAAATAACCATCAGAAGGAAGGGAAGCCCATCTCAGTTAGGAGATCCCAGAAGTTCCCAAGTGGTCACATTCCCCAGACCTGTCTCCTAATGCAGCAGATAAAGCTAATTTTGTACCAGGTTTAATGTGCTCTTAGTATCAGAAGCCTGTTTTTCATGTGGACGTCATCACTGTGAGACTGTGAAGATGAGCCAGGAAGGGGTGCCCTCCTCAAGAAGAGGGTAGAAGACATTCATAAGCGACTGCAATGGAAGATGAGAGCATTTCTTCGGTTAGTGGATGGGTGCTTGTTTAACAGTCCCTGTCCAGGCAGGTGCCTTTCGATAGAAGCGCTTCCTTAGCAAATTGGCCCTCATGGCCCATGTTCCGTTGTGATGTTCTGAGCTGTGTCCTGGTTTCAGCGTGGCAGGGCAGATGGTCTCTCTCTCTGCCATTTGTGCGTGTTTTGGCCGGGCAGCTCGTGGAGCATGCCCCAGCCGTTCAGACATGGGTGGGTGACTTGAGCAGAGTTTCGTGGACTTTGGCAACTTAGCTTTCCTTGGCGTGCCTTCCCCGTAGAAATCCCTGCGTATGCTAGTCCCTTTCACAAAGTAATGTCACAGAAATAGTAACTCGTGAATTAGCTGCTCTTCATTGCTTCGGTGTCTCAGGGGACCTGTCTGCGTTTTCAGTCACAGGAATAATTTCTCAGACAAAGCCAGGCTCTGGTTTCATACTTCATTATTTTAACATAACAGTTATTAGCAGGTGTGCTTCATTTGTTTTATGGAGTTAGAGCAAGTGGGTCAGGTATTTGAGAACCAGGTATTTAGAAACATCTGTCTAAAGCATCTGTTTTATATTATTTTATGTTATGGTGATAGGTACTGGTGGTCACTGGGCTTCAGTTTCCTCCTCGGGCTAACGGGATGCCAGTCCTTCCTGGCATCTTATTTCTAGTTGGTGAAATGGTGAAATGAATAAATTAATGCTCTTTTAATGATATACTCATAACTTTAGAGTTGGTGTTTAATTTCTTGAGAAAATGTATTTTTTAGGAAGAGGAACGTTCAAATTTTCATGCTGGAATTTATTATTTCATTTGTTCATTATAGAACTAAGCATAGGGAAGAGGATTATCTCACACAAACTAATCCTTCAATTTACCTTACACCCCAAATTGCAGAAAGGTGAGATTTGGTGGAAATTTGATGCAGAAAGTTTTTGGTGGATTTGGTTAAGTTTTTACTGTTGTTTATCAAACAAATAAAATGTTAGAAGCGTAAAAGAAAATACTTAGAAATACAGTTGCATTTGAGGAATTTATTGAGCCCCAAAGCATCTGCTCTGATCCAACTTTTAATTTTATCAAAAAAGAAAAGAAATGCTCTTTTGGTTAAATTATTTGCTCTCCAGGGCAAACACATGGCTGGTTAGTGGGCACTGCTGTTGATAACAATGTTTTATTCTCAAATATATTTACTCACACATTGTTAATATGAATTCACTTTGAATTATTCTTTGCAATGGTAATGGACTTAGAAAAGCCATCCACATTCTCACCTATTTGTAATCTTGGGCAGAGATTATTAAAAGAATGGCAGTTGAATGTAAGGTTTAGTTTGCAACTGTAAATAGAGTTAACTTATGTGCACAGCAAATTATGACACATTAACCAATGATGTAACTAACATACAAAAGTATGCTTCAAATGAAAAGAAACATGCCTTCTGAGAGCGCAGATTGCTGCAAATAAGGATGGTCTCTTGACTGGACATGAGTGATATCTTTATACTGAGCTTACATCCTGAGTTCTTTCAGCCGTAATTTCCTGATCTCAGGGTTTTGAAGCAGGTAGAGCGATACAGATTTGCAACAGCAAACTGTGCATTAGATATGGTTATTCTTTTAAGATGTCCAGAAGTGAATTTTTGTTGTAACTAGTGTTGGGCCTGAAAATAGTGCAACAGTCTTAGCGAGGTTTGAATGAAGTGAATAGTATGACTTGCCTCACCTTCACTAAAGAAAAGAAGCAAGACTGAAAGAGAAAATGAGAGACACTGCCTGATGCAGGAGCTGCTCTTATCTCTACTAAGACATGCTAATAGCTGGAAATGATTAAAATTCACGGCACAGCAGTGTTTTTTCAAAAAGCATACTCAGACCTTGAATAATCGGAAATTATAAGGTTTAATCACATTTATTGATTTCATAATGTTTTGTTTCTCTCTTTCTTTCTCTCTAATGACTTTGGTCTCCTTTTCTAGCTTTCAAGGGCACCATGCTGCAGGCTAAATAATTATACTTCAAAAGAAATCCTACTTTGACACCGTGTTGTTGGGGAGGAGGTATTTAGT